GTGAAACCCTTCTCTCTAGTTGATACAGATTGAGGTCTTTTAAACTAAGTAACACCCCCACTCCACCTCTTCTTTCTGTCTTACTTTTGTCATTTTCCTCACATTTCCTATGTATTCAAATGTATTAGCCTCACCTGTGTATTAGCTTTATCCTTGGAAATATGCTCCTTCTGAAGTATATCTGTAAGCTGCAGCCCTGGGAAATGTGATAGAAGGATTGGAGATGATGGTCCTCTCGTTGTCTTTGTTTCTTCTTTTTTCTTTGTGTTTGTCCTTGTCTGTGGTGTTTGTAACTCATCACAGGAATGGAAATAAGTAAGCTTGATGTAAATCTGTCATATCTTAGTCCGGTATGGGAATACTTATGGAGATGTACATCGAAGGTTCAGGAGCAGGGCCACACCCCTTCCTGCCGTCTACCTATAAATACGTCCTATTCCAGCTACTGCACAAAGAGCTTTCATTTCTTATAAACACCGAACCCCCCACCCCCACCCATTCTTATCTTTGTCTGTCCTCTTCCTTTCTGTATCTCCTCCTTCTTCCTACTGGTTTCCATGCCCGAGAGCCACACAGATTCTTCAGAAGCCTCCCCCAAACCGCTCTAATAGCCACCAAGTATAAATATAGTCCAAAGCACAATCAATATTTCCTCCCTCACCAGCATCACCATCATCCTCATCTATAGGAGTGGCCCTGATTAGTAAATATGGGGTAATGAGGAATGACGAGCAGCTTTGCATTGTGAGGCTGTACTTTTACACAGTGGTGCTTTGACATACTTAGTTTAGTACCTGATGGTGCAACATAAAAAGTTAGGGGATTACAAAGATGGAAATATTTGTCCCTTTTAGGGGCATTGAATAGTTGTCGCAAATTTCACAGGAATCCATCCAATTGTTGTCAAGTTATTCATGCAAAACCACAGATACCTTCCTCCTGGTTGCATAAAGTCAGGGACACACCATGGGGAACATGAATACATGAAGCTAATTTATGAATGCAATCAGTCACAACAGGTGTTGAGACACTTCTCTCTAAATGAAAAGTATCAATCTGCTGGAGACGCTAAAGAAAACATCAGGGGAACACCAAAGTCACTAGGATTCATCATGTGGGAACCATGAATGTCTACACAACATTTTGAGCCAATCCCTGAATTAAGGGTTGAGATAATTTACTAAATGTCTGTGTTGGAGGAACTAGAGGAAAAAAGAATCATTAAAGTTATTATGATTCATCCTCTAGGCATCAAGAATGTAAAATTCTAAATTCCACTGTAATCCATCCAACAGTTGTTTAGATATTTCATTCTGGAACGAAGTGTCTGGCTCAGAAACACAACACTGCCTTACACATATAAAGACACGCCGCTAGAATGTCTAAAAAATGTGCAGAACAGATCAAACACCCTTTTCTCTTTACTCGGCGTATTTAAATGGCCATGAAATGTAGTTTATCCACTTTTTCAGAATAGTACAAAAGTGCACCATTCCTCCAGGTTTGTGTACTTCCTCAGAGCAGAGAATCAACTGAGCTATCACATGGTAAACGAACCAACATGCCTCCACTCTCACGTAGGGGACAACTGTGTTGGAAATTAAGTCATTTTTCAGCAGTGCCAGAGTGTAGCAAGAGCCGCCTGTCACATTTATTTCTCCGTAGGTACTTCGTGGTGTCCTTTTATTTCTTTTTTTGTCAAAATGGAGGGAAATTCTCCAAATATCGCTGGAAATCTCCTCACTATCTCATCACACAGTCATGACTGTGGCTGTTTTACCATCAGTGTAGATTACCTCGGCATCTACACCACAGGCACAAACTCTTGACTTCTGTCTGACTACTGAAAAATGTTTTGTACATACTTGCTTTCTAGTGCCGATGGAGTTATTGTATAGAGGAGTCAGACACATTTCTAACACCTGTACAATAGCACTCAATCCAGTACAACAACGCCACAGACTACAGGGGTTACGGTTGGGCAGCACTTGGTTGTTGTTGTTTTAAGATGGTCTATGAAATAGAGATCCTAGTGATTGTGTCAAATCTAATACCCAGGTCTCTGACCTTCCATCATTCCATTTTCTCTATCCACTGATCCCGTACAGGGTCACAGAGGCCTGGAGTGGAATATACAACCTGCACAGGTTGTTGATCCATCACAGTGCTTACATACAATATATACAGTAGAAAGGAGAGACGGGCAATGACTTTCCAATATTTCAATAGTCATTACACGAAAATGTGACTATGGTTTTGTTTTTAAAAACAGAGCCACTGTTTTCCCTTGTTTTTTATGGGCACCTTGAAATAATATGATAATTACTGAGAACAGTATATCATTTTACTACTGTACAGCACCAAACATGCAGAGACTACAGCCATTAAAAAATACGGTCATCGCACAACTGGATCAACTATGTGATGATATGATCTTACAATAACTGTTGAATAGTTCCCAGCAAATATGGAGTAGCATTTTAGCTTGACACGTCCATCCCTAGTAGAAAGGCAAGCATTCAAGTCACAATCAGAACTTCCAGTTCACCTAACTTGCTATATATTCACAGCTCTTACTGTTATTTTCACCAGGGTAAAAAATGTCAGCGTATAGTGTTTCTGTGTTTATGCATGCCAACTAGCTAGCAAAACAGTGCACCTTTAGAAGTTTTATTTTTATTAAGTATTAATTTAAGAATACTGTGATTTGCCTAATCAACATTTTTTCTCATCACAAGGAAAGTGGTAAAATGACAACTGACCCATGATTTTTGATTCAGATCTACTGAAACAATGAGGAACACTGCTTCAAACTGAGCTGAAGAAAATGAACCAAGTTTGGCTCCAAAACTGGGATGTTACCTCACCACTTAACAAGCAGATTGTGACCAAGCAGCAACAAAAACTGCAGTTCCTCGAATGGCCACCTGAACCTGGAGTCAGTCCCCATAGACTCCCATGTTAAAATGCCCAACTTTGTAGGAGATATATTTGTTTACAGCCTGGTACAGAAATGTTTTTGGTCTCTATAGCTAATTTCCCCTCCCATGACAACTTTAAGGGGGTGAATTTTTTATATAACTAGTCTGTTTAAATTGTAGTGAGGCTAAATGTTATGTATAATTTAAGGGCTTGGCTGCTTTGAGTGACAGGCAAGAGGCTCCTGCCTCAGGTGTCTAGCCGGGAGCTGTCTAGCAAGCTCCATTAGCGCTCCACATTTTTGCCTATTTTTAGATTAGACCTAGCAGGCAGACTGAAGCGCTACCAAGATGGCAATGCACAGACTTCAGCTTCAAAACTGCTCTTCAGAAAACCAATGGATGACATCATAGTGTCCATCTTTAGTCAATGATTGTGACACTTCTATGCCCTTGAGCAAGTTACTCACCCATGCTATTACACTGACTCAGTTCAGGGTCAGGCAGATTGAGTCTGAGATTGTTATCAAATGGGGAATACCTGACCTGTGTGGGTGTGTAACAGGGCTGAGCTAGAAAATAGGATGCAGGCTCAGCAAGCCATCCTGGATAAACAAATGTTAAAAAAAAGGCAGGAGTGTGTGTCATAGATGGATGGCAGGGTTAGGTATCTGGGACAGGGAAACAGTTGGGAGTGCACCTTATTGACTGCCCTGAAAATAGACAGCTCAGGAAATGAAGTGGACTCAGCCACTACTGAATAGAGCTCAATGATCTGCATCACCGTTGGGAGCTAAACATGCACACACAGGTGAGCAAAAAGTTACACCAGGGCAGCTATGACTTGCTTTGACCAGACTGGAGACATGACAGCATTGTCTCAGCTGACTTCAGGCCAAACTTGAATTGCCAAACTGCTCTGACAGAGCCATCTTTTTTAATGTGGGTGCACGGAACAATGGGTGTACTCACAGTGACTGAATGGTGGTTGAGTTGTAACCTTACAGCTCAGAAAATATGACAGGTGACAAAGTTGAGTAGCCACATTTCCTCGAGTGGAACTGGCCTGTGGCTGCACTGGGAGGGTCACAGCTTTCAACAACTGGATGCCATTTCAAGGGATACCTCTATAAAAGGGGCTACTTTTCTACTATAAAACTGACACAACAAGCCAACTTCAACAAGCCAGACTGTACAGAATTAATACCCCTCCATGACAGTGATAGTCTGTATTCCTAACCAAAAACACAACAAGAGCCAATCAGCATTATGGAAAGATAACCAGAAACAATGGTCTTTTGGTTGCTCATAGGAAAGTCTCAGACAAAAATTTAGCACTGATGTCATTGCAAAGTTTAGCTTTATTTCCCAGCTGTTTTAGTATTTTATATCAGAGTTGTTGAATTAAAACTTCAAATATCAACCTCATGGTGGTGCTAAAAAACTCTTACGATTACCAAAGTCATCATCTAGGAAGCACACGTCTATACACAGTACCTCTTTAAGATACTGTCACACTCCACTGCATAATTTAAAAATGTGACCTGTTGCTAGTGCTACATAAAAAGCCAGAGGAAACCAGGTTTGTTTTGGGAACCACAAATGGCCATTTAATAGTTGTTGAGATATTTCAGTCTGGACCAAAGTGGTGGACCTAGTGTAGTGGATCTGACTCTGCTTTATGTTGTGTAGCATGCAAGGACCACACCTCCCTGGACTGTCTATGAGCAACAGTCAGCAAGAGCAGCTGTGTAGTTGTGGTGAAAAATAAAAAGCATTCACAGGGTTGCTTTCACATAAACACTCTCAGCACCTGTATAACATGAACAGCAAAGTCACACTATGCTCCATGCTAGCACACACAGCACTCTCTAGCATTACACACTATACAGCAGGCCTGCTACACACATCTCGACAAGCTTCCTCTCCAATTATCAGATCTATGCATGACAGCAAACAAAATACAGCTCTAGATAATAAAAATGCAACTACCTTGCCTTTACACTCCTTTTAAGTAACTTCACATCAGTTAAAGAGCCCAAATTTCCACAACTAAACAGAACAAAGAACATGTGTACTTACCCTGGAGAAAGGCCATATGAAAAAAGGAAGTAAAGTTGGATGCTCAGCAAGTGTCATCACAGTACAAAATAAAACAGCTGTGGTACTTCCTCTTGAACCTCAACCTGGCTCCTTTTGTGAGAAGGTGTCCAATGTTTACATGCAATTTACTAAAACATATCCATAAGGAATTCACAATTTTATAAAGAACACAGAACAAAAAGAACTCTGGAAATGATAACCTGTGCCCACCAAAATAAGAGTCTGGTATATAGTCCACATTGGACTTTACATTGGTCTGTTGTAATTAGTACACTGGCACAAACCTACAAGGTCCCTCAGAGCTTCAAGCCAGTTTCTTTTAGAGGTTCCCAGGGCCAGATATAAACGCTGGGGTGACCGTGCTTTTACTGTTGCAGCCCCTGAATTGTGGAATAGTCTATCTTTTATGGTTAGGTCAGCTACTGACCTAGGTACTTTTAAATCATTGCTTAAAACATATTTATTTGGCTTGGCTTTTAATACACAGTAGGGCCTGATGCATTCCTTTTAATTTTTAATTTACTGAACATGTGTTAACTGTGTGTCTGTGTTATTGTGCTGTTTTATTTTTATTTGCACTGATCTTATTTACTCTATTTTAGTCATTTATTGTGATTTTACTCTGCCATGTAAATACTATGGTCAGCTGGGTGTTGTTTTTAAAGGGCTATATAAATAAATTTGATTTGATTTGATTTGTTCATAGCACATCACACCAACAGAGCCTTGTCAGTAGCATGGCTAAAATTTAACTTAGGCAGACTTGTACAATTCTCTATGCAGGAGCCATCGGACTGAGACATTCTTGTCAACAGATGTATATACATGGTTGAGATATACCTGGTTTTAAAATGGAAATTACCCTCAAAATTTGAAAATGCAAGTATTGTGTATAAAGCAGGTTCTAACTGTATGAATGACAAAAGTAAGAGTCTCTGGGAAAGAGCAAGAGCTTTGAGTTGGCATTCCCTAGACAATTTTTAAAAGAAGTTTGAAATACACACACAAGCCAAGTACCTCACACACAGTCAACTACAGATCACACACACTGCAATCCTCCGCTCTCCTCCTCACACAAATACCAGTGAGAGATAATTCTCTTATTTTGCCTCGCTGCAGTTTGCCCGATTTGTGTCTGCCTGAAAGATCTACAGACAATCTCAGCGCCTCCTCTGGGGGAGAGTAAGTGAGAGTCATTGAAGTGTTTTTTTTTTTAAACTCTTAAACTGAGCAAGAAGTGCAGGCAGGGAAGTGAGGAGGCTGCGAGTGAGCAGGCGGGAGCCGGCTGACCTCCATGGAGGCGACACAGATGCCAGCTAAGCCAAGAGGCACTTGAGCAAGTACAGAAAACCAGAGTTGGGAGACAGATAAGAAATATCTCTTGGTCCCTGAACTCGAATACATTCACAAAGAAAAGGGGTTTGTAGATAAAGTTTACTGTTACTGTTCAGACTCGCTGTTTGTCTTTAACAGTATCTTTCTCCTAACACATCACAGACAACCCCCGACACACACTCAAACATATACTGTACACACAGCTTTAAAATGGCCTTGGAGGAAGCTTTAGAAAAGTCGTACGTTTTTAGAAATCCATACAGTCCCCAAAATCTTCTTAGGGACCAATCAACCTAAGATGCATGTCTTTGGACTGTGGGAGGAACCTGGAGAGAACCCACACAGGCACAGGGAGAACATGCAGACTCTGCACAGAAAGGCCCTGAGTCAGCTGTGAGGCGACAGCGCTAACCACCGCGTTGCTTTGCCTCATATACCATACCATAATAGACCCATCTAAAAATATTTATGCAATTACAGTCATTGTTATACATATATAAAGGGAAAAGGCTGAGATGTTAGTTATCGCTTTTTGCAAGATGTGTTAAGCTTGGGACAGGCAACAGATTGAACAGTATCTGAACAACTGGAGGGAGAGTTAGCTGATTTTAGGATTGTTTCACTTCAGATCTAAGATAGAGACCTGAAGGCTGCATCACAGAGCAACTTCCAGTCTTTGACTTATCTGCTTTCACTAAGTCTAACACTGCCTGTCCTCAAAAACTGGTCACTAGTGCTTCTGTCAGCAGACCCGAACCAGTTACAGTATGAGCCCATTCACAAGAGAAGTGGAGTGAGTCACATGCAGCAGCAACAGATCAAGAGCAGACGTGTAAAGAAATGAGTCACTACAAAGGACAAAAGTGTTATTTAGGATTATTGAAATCTATAAACCCAAAAGTAACAGACTAAGATACAATAAATGTAGTAGAAAATAGTGCATTTATACAAGTATTAGGTTTGAAAAAATAAGCATTTCTACCTGACTGACATTTAGTAAAGGTGTTTCATTCACAATTTCACCTCATTTTTTAAGGGCCTTTTTATTGACCCTGATACAATATGAGTTTGAAATAGGTCGGACTGAACTCATCACGGTTGAGAATCCCGCCCTGAATCAAAGTATTTTATTATAATTTATATGCAACTTGAAATAACATTCATTATTGATATAGGTATAGTTTCCTGCTGTTTGCTAGAAGCCCTGCTTTCAAACTAGAGTGAGCTAATGGTTCCATTATGTTGGATTATTTTAGCCTGTCTCTGAAAATGATCATGGAAAGCAAAGTCATCGTGTTGCTCTTTAATGTTCCTAAATGTACTGTAGCACTTTTGTAGTTTGTAATATGTGAGGTAATCACACACTTTAGTCTAATTTTCTTTGCAGCATTGATTGACCTCAGTAAGCTTTGTCCTACTGAAAAACCTGGGACAAACTCTGGTTATCTGGAACAGGAAAACACTTCAAATTGCCCAATGATTCGCAAAGTTGTGGACTTATGGTGCTACGTTTATGACTAGAAGTGAGAGCATTTGATCAATAATCTAGATTAGGAACTCACTTCCATCCTCACCAAAATTTAGGAGGGTTCCAGAGGGGTCCTAACTGGGTAAGAGTTGCCAGAAGATGATGGTTCGAGCAAAGATGTAGAGAAAAAGAGCTGTAGAGCTCCCCACCCCCACCCCCACCCGGGTTAAGAACAGTAGGGTAAAAGTAAACAAGAATCTATTTTTCATCTTCAAGCGTCTCTGAACAAGAAAACACCTCTCCTAACTTTGGGAGTATATCTGCTTTTGGTTCTACACTTCAGAGCAGATGAATCATTTTAAAAGTCAACTTTACTCTTGTTTTCATGGCAGCTGTAAAAAGCCATCGCAACAAAGCATTTCTGTATTAGTGTGCAATAAAATGTGATGTTTCTCCCCTCCATCTTTGACACTGCTCACCAACTAACTGCAGGAGAAATGAACATAAATCCACCATTTTAATTTGTACTCAATGATTAAAGTGCATTATTTATTGGTATCGTTTGCAATTCTTTAGCTAAATGTGAACAATTGTTTTAGGAGCCAGTTTGAGAGTCAGTAAGGCAGGAAAGCAGGAAGTCCTGACATCACTCAGGCTTCATTTACAAGCCAAAACATTCTGTGCTGTTAAATGCACTGTACATGTACTAGGATGATCATTCATTTCCTATATCTGCTTGATTCAGGGCCATGGGGGTGGGATGGTAGTAGGAGTCCACCAGCATTAAATCAATATCCTACCACTTAGAGCCATGCCCGGCTGCGCTGTGGGCTCTGATGTGGCACTAGTCAATATGTTAATTCCTCTGACGTCCTTTGATGGTAGACAGCAATCATAATCATAAACTGATAAAACTTTTATCTTAAATAGCTAAGGAATCAATACATTATGCTTAGCGTTCTTTGTCTTTCACTCTCACAAAGAACTCACTAATCTTGCCGATGGAGGCACTTTAATTTACTCTTGATACAATGACAGTTATGTAATTGGTGCTACAGCCACAGGGTGCTCAAATGTATCATGTATTACTTCTGATTATAATAAAATCTCCATGCATGATATGTTCAAACTGCAGCACAGCCAGCTAAGAGACATAGTTTCTTTTTTCAAAATGTTTTTCCTTCCATTAAGTGTTGTCAACAAAATCAGTTGGTAAATCCATGGTACATGCGGTTTTTGCAGAGATGCAACACTCCAGAACAAAATAATAACACAATACAGTAATTATTTTTAACCAATACAATTGTTAGGAGATGAGCCAAAGCCAAATCTTCACTGAATGTACTGAAATTGATGTGAATTAATTAGCCAATAAAAACTCATCTAACCACAGTATTCCCAGGGAAATGTGTTTGTACGTGTGTGTTCTTGTACTTCTTGACAAAAAGAATGGTCAGTGTTAGGGTTAGGCAAGTAGTGGTTATGATTAAGGTTTGGGTTAGTCTCCAGGAAATGAATAGAATTCAATATGGCAGCTGTGGCTCAGGAGGTGGAGTGGGTTGTTTGGGGTGGTTCGAATCCCAGCTTCTCCAGTCGACATGTCAAAGTGTCCTTGGGCAAAACTCAGAACCCCATTGCTGTTGTTGTAGACTCATTTATTCAATTTTTTTTAGTATAGTTATTCACTAAATGATGTATGTGGTATCACCATAAATCAAAATGATCTAGCTATTAAGTTTGAAAATTATTCTTGATGCCATAACTGATTCCATGTTAAACAAGTACCCAGTTAATTGTAAATGATTACAACCTGTTGAGCCCAGTGTGTCTTTGAGTGAAGGCTGCAGATAGCTTCATTGATGGATGATAATTGGCTTGTCTGGTTCCTCAAATGCTGCCAGTCTCCCCCCAAGTTGTCAGGTCCTCCCTGATGAATCCATGTGACTCCCATTTTATGAAAAACCCGTCCCATGTTGAGATGTGTTAATCAGGTACAACCTGCATTCTAATTTCCAAGGGAAGGTCTTTTTTATTCACCAGTCAAACTGGCAGCAGACACTAAGAGGGACAAATGAACAGGGACCCATATGGCAGTGCCAAAACAAGCAGCTGCTGGCCAGCAGAGGCTCTAGTGCTTTGGCAGGACAAGCTATGATGAATGCATATGTACTTTTACTTCTATCTTGTGCCTTAAGCAACAAATGAGGGGCATTGAGAGGGACATTGGTTGGTGAAGAAAATATGAC